GAACGTAAGCAGTTCTCAAATTTCTTTATGAAAACACCTCATTAACTACATTAACCAACTATAATGTATATTCTCCTTTGGGAACTGAATCAAACTAAAACAATGTGTGAGATGATTAAGGAAAATCTGAATCACTTAGTTTTAGGTGCAATGATTAGGCACTGTGATTATGTTTATGATTTTTCCTTTTTTTGGGCAGCTGGCTGGTAGGGGGAGCCAAATCTTTGACCTTGGTGTTATCAGCACCATGTTCTAACCAAGTGACCTAACCAACCAGCCCTGATTATGTTTTTGAAAGTTGTCCTTAAGAGATACATGTTGAAACATTTACAGATGAGATGGAATGGGACTTGCTTTAAAATATTGGCAGAGGAAGATGAAATAAGGTTGACCATTGGTAACTGCTGAAGTTGAAAACAATGAGTACAATAGTCCTTAAGCCTTCTCTCTCTACTTACGTACATATTTGAAATTTTCCAGTGATTAAAAAAAAACCCCTTATTACCTTGGATTCCATTTATTGCAATGTCTGGGGAAAATGGAAACTAAAAAGATACCCTAAAACGTGTATTTGATGTCACATTTTATTGATTCTAACATACTTACCTCCCCCCATCTTTGTTTAAACGATTTCTAGATGAGATGATTTACAACAAACCTTTTTTTTTTTTTTTTTTTTTTTTTTTTTCCGNTAACGGGCCAGAAAAAGCAAATCCGTGATTAGAAGACAAACACCACATGAGACTCATCTATATTCAAATTCTGAAAGTTCTGAATTTTATGAATAGAACTCTGTAATAATCACGAACGTAAGCAGTTCTCAAATTTCTTTATGAAAACACCTCATTAACTACATTAACCAACTACAATGTATATTCTCCTTTGGGAACTGAATCAAACTAAAACAATGTGTGAGATGATTAAGGAAAATCTGAATCACTTAATTTTAGGTGCAATGATTAGGCACTGTGATTATGTTTATGATTTTTCTTTTTTGGGGGCAGCTGGCTAAGAA